CACATCTTAGTAAAACCAATACCTTCTCAGCTTCGCCTCGAAGCTAAAAAACGTATAAATATAATTTTCCCATGATAATTAAAAAAATTCACGATTTTTTTCATTTTTTCCATAATTAAATAACGTATAAATTAAAATATTCTTAACATTAATTTGGATGAACTTATATTTAACCTTTTACAATCATCTTAACCTTCTTCTACTCATTTATCTTTTAATATATATATTTAGCCTTTTTTTACTTAAATTGTAAAGTTATATTTTATTATTTGTTCATTTCATTTCATTTATTTAGAATCTGACTTAGTTTTAATTTTTAATTTAATTTAATTTTGTTATTGTAATTAAAAAATTAAATCATAATATAAAATTAATTTGTTTAATTTAGCTTTCAGCATTTACGTTTTACATCTAATACATTTTTAAAATGCTAATCATTTCCAAAGTACTTATATAAAATTTGTTACCGATCAGTCATATTTTATGAATATTGAAATACGAAATTAAAAAATAATAGAATATAACTTAAATGGTAACCCCTATTTTGAATTTGTTATTATGATTTAAAATAAAAATACAAACAACTTTGCTCTTATAATTTTTTTTCCTATCAACCGTTTGTCCGTTACAGCTTGTTAAAGTTAAATGATTTTGGATTAATATAATTAATTTAATTATAGTATATTTGATTTTAATGCCATAAGCATAATGACCAAGAGCCACTTTAACGTATGAAATAATAAAATAGAGGAAGAATGAGTAAGACAGGTCTAACGCTTGTGTTAGGTTATAATGGACATGTCACCAACATCAAGAGGTATCCTCTACATAAATGTAAAAGGCCCAATGAGATGTTCACCATGTTCACCCTGATTACACCTCTGTCAGCACATGTAAAGGAGGAAGGAATAAAGTAAAGAAAATTATAAGGATTGACCATTACTAATTACATAAAAATTATAGTTAACCATTATAGTCATTAACTATTATTTACAAAAAAACACAAACCTCATGTGCAAAAACAAAGAAATTATAACACATTACAATGGTAAAATGTTGAGATATCCATTAAGTTGATGATGAAGTGCCATAATTATAATGATCAAGTCAAATAAAAAGTTTTTTACTCCTCCATCATGGATTCGTAATACACGTCTATGATGATGTTGACGATGATGACTATAATGATCATGTGCAAAAGTGTGAAGGTGACCTGATGATGAAAACTTATTTGAACATAACCGTAGTTTCCCAAGCCGAGTTTAATACAAAAAAAACACGAAACAGGTAGTAGGAACAATTTATTAATCTTCTAAATAAATCTGTGGGTATATGTGTAACACTGAACTTACAAATGTACGACGTGCACTTTTAGAATGTCTACCTGTAACCCTATACACACCATAATAATATTGTGTTTTACAAACTTTAAGATAAAATGAGTGGCTAGCGTTAAAAAAATCACCTTGTACATAATTAAACTACTTGAGCAAATTTTATTTTGTAATTACTTAATCAAACTTCAATCAATTTTTAATCTATGAGTTTTATATATTACTTTTTTTATACAGATATAAACATTTAAATTAAAGAAGATATAGATCAATTATTGTCAATAGTTTATAAATATGTGTATACAATACCATTTCACGTGTATTAACATAATTATTGACAAACAAAACATTAGTCCACCAATTAGTTTTACAATATTCAACTTCAGGATAAACTATATTTTTCCATAAAGGTCCATTGCTTAAATTTGGCAAAATATAAATATACAAGAAAACCACTGTCAAGTATACTGGTAAAATTCTAGAAAAATTTAAAATGTTTTATTAATTATTTATTTGCTATGGTTACACTCATCTACATTTGAACACTATATTATTTATTAATTAATCTATACTTCTTGCAAAATATACTAATTATTTTATGTATTTTTAAAATAAAAAGGTCAATTAAAATAAATACGTTTTCTTATTTTTATCATCTATACACACATCAGCCGTCCTCGTATTGTATTCAATAACCTCTACTTCTTATTCCTTCAACATTCATTTTTATAATTGTTCTCATAGCTTCTGTTCCTCATTCCTCATTACATGACCAAATATATTTTTTGTCATTTTATCCACGATCGACGCTACACAGATTCTCTAGTCACTCCTTTCATTCATCTAAACTTACTCATCTCTGTTTCATTCATTTTCTGCTCTACTTTCTTGTCAACCGCCCAACACTCTGAACCTTACATCATAGCTGGTCTCACTACATTCTTGTAGAATTTACCGTTTAGCAACATTGGAATACATTTTTACGCATAAGACACCAGACGCTTCTCTCCACTTCGACCACCCGCACTTAATTCTGTGTCTTACATCCTTGTCAATACCACCACTCTTTTGCACAACTGATCCTAAATACTAAAAAATATTCACCCCCCCCCCAATCACGTTTTCGCCTATTGTCACTGATTTCCTCATTTCATACACTCATGTTCTCTTTTGTCAACCCAACCGGAATTTCTAGTAATGATAAAATTAATTGTCATAAAGTGTATGAAATTGGTCTTGTTCTAGTAAACTTAATGGTGGGTAATAATTTTCATGATATAAAACTTAAAAGATCAAATAAAATTATAACTCTATCTTCAATAACTTCTATTGTTAAAATTAATAATGAAATAATTAAAGTAAACCTATTGCTACTATTTCAACTAATCGCTATTTTAAAAAAAACCAGTAGTGTCCCGGCACAGTGGGGACATGGTATAATTGGGTCCAGTATAGATGATATGTGACAGTGATTAAAATCATTATCATAAAAATCGCCTTGATGCGAATCGGTATATAGTGTTTAATTTAAAAAAATTAATGGATTATTACAAAAGCTCGTACTCTATATATTTTGCCTTACTCCTACTTAATCTTAAACCCTTTAAGAGTTAATTTCCTCTCAATTTACTCCAATTAACATTATATCGTCAGCGAACACTATGCACGACGACACCTCTCCTTGTATTTCTCTATCAATTTCATACATCACTATAGAAAATAAGTCAGGACTTAAAGCAGAACCTTGATGCACTCCTACTCTTACCCTAAACTCTTATGTTACTCTTCTCAAACTTTTTACTCTGGTACAAGTGTCATCATACATATCCTCTATTATTATAATGTACCTTTTTGGGACTCCTTTATTCATTAATGCCCACTTTAAAATCTCTCTCTGCACTCTATCATATGCTTTCTCCAAATCTATAAATACAATACAAAGCTTTTTTTTCCCTATACTTTTCTATTAGTTATCTCATATATAATAATGGCTCCATTGTTGACTTACCAAGATAAAAATATATTATATATTATTATTATATGCTAAAAATATATTCCTCGTTTTTAACTTCATAATACGTTAAAGATAAAAATTACTAATAATTTTGTTTTTCTAATATATTTTATTTTATCAATAGTTTGTGTTAAAATTTTTAGACTTAAAGTAAAAATTTATCATTTATTTAATTTTTTTAAAACTGGAAACGGGAACACTTTGTTTCAATAGGTCATTAATTATTTAAATGATAGTTATTAATAATAAGGTTATGAGACATTTTATTCACTCCACTTTTTCCAATGCATTTTTTCCACCGGCCTTTTTCTCCACTGTATAATTTTTCCAATACCTTCGTTTTTACTAACGTTCTTTTCCATTAATATTTTCCAAAAAAAAATTTTTTTTTAATAATTATAATAATATTTATTCAACAAGATTTTTTTTGATAGCGAAACAAAACATATTTTATGTCTAAAACATCTGTTCACAAGTTGCACATGGACGGAAGACAACACGGGATGGACACTTCGGATATTTCTGACACTTCCAAAAACTCTACCATTCTTTTCAGTCGATTTCGTATATAAAGATCCATCTTCGTGTAGATGAAATACTTCGTATCTCCATATATTAGTTGCACGACTATTTTTACTAAAGAATATGATTAACTTCAAATTTTCCAATTATTGATTACAAAAAATTTGGCAACTACACAATTTGAAGTTCTGATCGAATTCAAACATTGAAAAAAAAATATTAACAATTGAATTCAAATTACTATGACAACCATTGGAACAAAAAATAATCGTGGATAAAAAAATTAGTCGAAAAATCGGGTAGTGGAAAAAAGAATTGTTGGAAAAATCGGTTAGTGGAAAAAATAGAATGGAATAAATGGTGTAAAATCCAATAATAATTTTCCACACAGATGAACAATAATGTATGATAGTAAACTTACGTTTAATATAAGAGTGCGACTATTTATATAGATGATTTATTAAATATAAGATATTTATATATTGTATAATATCTATGTCAATAGAGGCTAATATATGTGTTGAAATAGAAAAATGAGAACTTTTGTTATTATAACAATGGAATATCATTAAGAAAATTGAAAGGACGACCTGTCCCTAGACATTTGATTCAAAACTTATGACCCATCGGAATTTTTTACGAATCCTGGCCATTAATTTGTTAATTTAGAATTGATTTTCTGGGCATCAGTTAACTTCTGTTAACTACCAAATTACTCATTCTGGTATATCAAACGCCTTCTCTGATATAGCCCAGTGCCACTAGAGATAAATAATAATATTTTAATAATTTATTTTAAAAAATAAAACTGTTAAAAATTTAATAAATCAGCTTACAAAAACATAAAATAGCCATTTTGTAGAGTAAGTTTTAAGCAAAAAATGGGTATTGCAATTATTTATTAATGTTTTGTAAATATTTTTCTAAAGTATTTTAATGTTGTCGAAAATTTGAACTTTTACGTTTATTTTAAATTTTATTTTCATTCAAGCGATAGTTTTCATGGATATGTAAATAAAAATATTTAAAATACAAAAATCCAACCTCCCCATTGAAATTTAATTGTAATTTTTTGACACAAGGTAAAAATATTATCCTATAAATATATGTCAAAACATCATTTTTTGAGATATACAGTTGTTGGGCTCGAGTAACAAGATTATTAATACATATTATTTATGAAACTTTAAACTAAATGAAATTAAATCATACCGAAAATTGTACTACCTTACTAGACGATTTAAAATGATAACAAATATATGATGCTCGTTTTCTTCTTTTAAACGATTGATGACAACGACAAATGTCAAAAACCCTGAAATGACGAAGAAAACTTCTACGCCAACTGGCGATTTCAAAGGTGCTAGCCAAAAATGTGTATAAATCTTGACATAAAATATGTAAAAATAATACAATACCACTATATTAATTATTTAAATCGTGTATAAGTTACTATTACATACTTACGTTTTCAATAAATTCAAAATTTTCCGAGGGACTTGAAAATTCTAATGTTAATCTGTGTCCAAAAACAATAATTATAATACCCATAGTTTTTAAACAATTAATCGATGAGAAAATTGTTTTGTCAGTTGAATTGTTTATCAATTCATTAATATTAGAACTTAATGAAAATGCTCGTAATAATATTTCTATATAAATAAAAAATAGGACATTATAATTAAGTTATACTAACTAAACTATACTTATGTAAACTTTTACTGTAACTACTATTTATTTATAGTAAAATGTTTTATGAAAAATACAATTTATCTCACGAAAACAATTTCAAATGTTTTATGGAAAATGTTTCTTAATAAACCCTGGGGTCATCTAAATATTGACACTATCAAGACTAATTATGATGTAGTATAAGCATTATGTATTTACTAAATATTTGATTTTAGAAGATTCATGAGGCAAAACTACCTTGTTATTCCTCCTGTTCTTTTCATTGCTACAATATTGTAATATTGTGCTTTTTTAAATATAATAATTGAACGGTCGGCGGGAATAACATGATATGTAACACTTTTTCCCATTTCATTTTTTTGCGGAATAAAGTGCTAAGAGTGTATCTCAATATATTTATAGAATCAGATATTTGATTATGTTTAAAGTTGGAAGAACGTACTACGTGCAGTCCAAATAATATTTAAACTAAATAACATAAGTAATTTTGTTTTTACTTGATACTGAACAATTTACAAATTGTTACATAGCACGTTATTCCCGCCGACCCTTCAATTGTTTTTAAAAAGCGTTTTGCAATATTTTTTATAATCATAATGTATGTTGTAATATTTAACTTAATAAAATTTTTTTTAGATATAAAAAACTATTTTCTCAAATAATTAAAAAAAAAAGTCAAATAGTTTATATAGTTCATTTTTAATTTATTAAGTGTTCAAAGACATAGTTATTTTATCACTGTATACAGTTTCATTTAAATGTAGTCATTTTTTTATTCATACTAAAAATTTGTTAAATTTTGAAAAATCAATATTTATGAGAATCCTTATTATTTACTATGCTTAAATTTTCAAAATTTCACTAACATTCTATATGCCTTTTTTCAATTAATTTGAATGAGTTGAAAGCAGGATAGATTAACCCGAATTATTAGTAATAAATTTAAACGCTATGTTAAATTTTAATTTTTCAATAAAAACTACAATTGTTAACTATAATTATTCATTCAAAAAAATAAGTAAATAAGTAGAATAAACAGGTCGTCATTTCAAATTTTGTTTAGTACTAATAGATATTAATGATATCAATGTGTTGATTTAATTATTTGTTCAATCGTCTGATCAAGGGACACTTAATACGGTAAAAGTAAATTGAACATTTTTAATTAAGTTAATGCACAGAACAAAAATAATGCTAAACTTAAGTATTTTAAATGACATTATAATTATTACGCTCACATCATAGAAAATGATTTTATTAAGAAAACGATTGAGTCCAATAAAAACTATTAAACCATTATTTTTGATAATATTAATACTTAAAAATAAAGGATGAAGGTGAAGTGTCGTTCTGTTTATTTAAATCTTTGAGGCATTTCCAAACTGCTATTCTCCCCATACCTCTATGTAGAAATACTTCTATCTTTTAAAATAATGGTTCAAAAGTTGTTATTGACCAGTAAATTTTCAGTCATATAATTTCCTTATTTTTAAACTAGATAAATATATGTTACGTAAGTTGGTAGAATTTTAAGGGGAAAAGAGAGGGATTAGATTTTTTTTTTGTTTTTAATTTAAGTGTATAATATACTAATAACTACTGAAAAGAAAAAAATGATACATTTTCCTATATTTTTAAGATATTGCGTGAGATATTGTTAGTAAACACTTTGTAGTTGTAAGAATAAAAATATATTTTATTACATTTATATACGAAGTGTTTACTAACAATATCTCTAAAAAAATAAATATGTAAAATATTTAACACAGCCATACATTAATAAAATATTAATATTATTATTAATACTAATATTTATTAGTATATAAAATTTATAGTTGAACCCAAAAAAGCGTATACAACTTTTATTAATGTATGGCTGTGTTAAATTTTTTACATATTTATTTTTTTCCTTAAAATATAAAAACTGCATTAAAATTGTATATACTGCCCGCTGATTTTGTTTATTTCATTTGACAGTATAAAGTGTCGTACAAACCAATCAGTTTGATGTTTAAACAATGGGCTTTAGAGGCCTAAAGGCGTAACACAGAATTTAGATACTTAAATATACACTTCACATACGGCAAATGACGACTCTGAATATTAATATACATAATTTTAATAAACTTACCAAGCATTTTTTCTTTATTTCCTGTTTTTTCTAATAACATATCATAAATAGTTCCTATCATAACTATTAGCAAAACTAAAATGAAAAACACCCTGAAAGTTTTTGTTCATTTGTTATTACTCTATGTATATAATTTTAATGATGAAAATTATATACTACTTAGAATTATTCTATGTAGTTTTAAGAATTATTTATAAGTAGGGCTGTGAATTCATTCCCTTTGCGTACTTTTTATTATTTTGTTACATGATACAAGAATATGGGTTTTGATGAACATTTTTTTCGAGTAATGTATAATATGAAATCTTATTTTGCATACTTTTATATATTTAATGGCCTTAGGCATGTAAGTACATATTAACACGATTTTCACGTGAATGAAAAATAAAAAAATGATTTATCTTATAAAACTATAATATATAAATTTTCCTGTTAATCCAGATAGACCTACTTCAATTAATTACAAAATATTCTCTACGTGCTGTGTATCCACACGTAGAAATAGTTTTACGCATATTTTGACCTTCCCAATAACTGTCTACGCGTGAAAGATCATTCAGTAAGGTAAAACTTTAAAAACTATTTAAAATCAACAATAGGACAAGATCGAATATGGCTATTTTATCTATCGAACACGTATTGGTAAATACTTTTAATACAGATGAACTTATTGAAGACTTTTCTGGGAAAAAAGCTAAAAAAAATTTAATTGCACGCTTGATATCGTTACATAAATATTGTCATCATCATTGTCGGAATTCTTGTGTTAAAGTTGTGAACTATAAATCAAACGTGGGTTCTTTTATCTATCAATTATTACTTACTACTCATTGAAATTATTCTAAGAACAATGAAAAATTATCAGGTAAATTTTCAAATTAATAATAGTTAGTACTTATATAATTTTATAACCCTCAAATCACAACCTGAATAAGAGTAACTCTCACTTTTATCCAACACCTTTTAATTTTTCTTATATTAATCTTTGATTAATTAATTAAAGTGTATAACTTCATTATTTTATAAAGTATTTTTGAGTTATGACATATTAGAGTAGAGGTCCGTTATTAAATAAAAGTAACAAAAATAAAAAAAAAAGGTATTGACGTTTTGTTGCGGATCGTTTCTATGGTAATCTATCTTTTTATATTCTTACGGAAGTCATTTGAATCGAGTCTTATTTTATTATTATCTAGTGTATGTGTTATATATGTTTTTAAAATAAATTTAAATTGTTTGCAACTATTAGAAAGACTTGAAATTCGTATACATTTTTAGTTTTATTAATTGTGTGTGTGCGGCTGGAGGCTGTTCCTTTAGTCAGTCCTAACGGCAAGCTGGCAAATATACAAGTTGAACCATTTTGTAGTCGTTTAAGAGAAAAAGTAGTTGGCTGGTCACTGACAAGTTGTCACCCTTTAGTCTTCTATTATTGATCCAGGCCGTGCTGGCGGGTCTAAAGAGTACCTCTTTAGCTGCTCTCTAGTTTTGGGCAAAGTGCTAAACAGTAGTAGTCCATCATACTGGAGGATTTGGGAATTGCGCATTTTGACGTCGAACAGGATAATTCAATTGTGTGCGTGTATTTGTGTTGATGACCAGGCCAAGCCGACGTACGACAGTACACAGTCTAATTACAATTTACTGGTATCAGCTTAAAACCGACGGATAATTGTAAATAACGTAGGCGCAACTATAGTGGTTTAGGCCCATTAAGTTGGCGAAATAACCCACCCAAAATTTAAAAAAGATACTTTATTTTTATATAAAGATAAATTTTTACCTAAGAGTATAAAATGGTATTCGAAATACATATATTTTTTTATTCTTCAATAGTTAAATTATATATGAGTTTGACATGGAAAATTCGTACTTAAATAATTCAAATTTTAGTGTATAATTTATACATTATTAAACACTATTTTGTTAGTTTTTAGAGCATACTTTTATTAATATATTTTATTATTTTTTAGTACATAACTTTGCATATTTATAAGTTTTAAGAGCATATTTTAATGCATATTTACTAATTTATTTCATTGTTTTGCAGTGTATTAGATTCACAGCCATATTTATTTATATTAATTAGTTATTTCATTCATTAAAATATTAGGAAAATAAAATACTGACCCAATCTTTAATGACTCAGGTTTAAATTTTGAGTTTGTATTACTTGGAGTGTACATCGATGGATTCACAAAAATCTGTGTAGTTATGTTGTAAAATTTAAAAGCAGGTACTAATATAATTTCGACAGATTTCTGTATATCTACAGGCTTACATGAATTAGGAACACAGATAGCTAAATGTATTTTATTATTTTTGTTAATCCATGGATTGTTATTTATCTAGAATAATTGTAATAAAATTGTTAAATTACTTTTACAATATGATATAATGGATGAGAGAAAATAAAATTTAGGTATGTAAACATAAGTGCAAATATCCTTTAATAATGTACTATTTATATTACATTAATTTAACTAATTAGTTAAATATTTTCAAAGTACAAAATCAAAAATAGTTAATTAAAAAATATAAGTTTTGTAGAATAGCAAAAATAACCCATTAACTAAAGATAGAAATAACTGCCTACAAAAAATATTAATTAACAATTATGTGAGTGGTATTATGGTAATTGTTTGGCTATATGTTTGTTGTCAAAACAACAAAATTTATCGATCATTTCTGATTTTATATTGCTTTGAGAATTTAATTCAGATAAAAACTTAATATTGAATATTAATAAATCATAAAAAAATATATCTAAAATGAAAGGAAATCAAGATTTTTCATTTATTATTTTATACATAGAGCTCAATTAATTTAATAAATTATATTAAACAATTATCTTTTATTACTATAATTATTTTTCAGGGTATATAAGAATCTATCCCGAGACAATGGTATACAGGGACCAACACTATTACAAGATTGTCAACTTTGTACTCAAGATTACTTTAAAACAAGACTTTTAAGAAAATTATGTTTTTGCGTTACGACAAGTAAATTATTTTGTTGTCAGTTTTTTTAAAATAAATACAGAAATAAAAATAAAACATTGGGTAAAAGTAATTTGTTATTAAACGACTATTTACATCAAAGTTACCAAATTCAAACAGATTATATTAAAATCATATTTACTTCTAATTCTTCCCAAGCAGTTATGTTGGGATAAACACCAGAAGAATGGTCAGTTATTTTTGAGATGTTGAATTCCAAAGTTACAATAGAATATGCGCTATAAATTTTTAACCATTTTGCAGAAACTTTTAAACATTGATCAAAATAACCTAAATTGAATATATTTCTCGATAGTAAGCCCCCAGGGTATTTTGATGACGAATCGTACACTGTAATTATAATTTAAGTATAAATATTATATTTGCAAGAAGAAAAAAACCTAAAAAAATGTTTTTTTACAAAGTCTTGTTACACTCACACCACTACTGTGTATGTATATTTAACAAATCAATGGAATATACTAATACCATTCCATTAGAATTAAATATTACTATAACATTTAATAATTAAAAATCAATTTAAAAATATTTACTTACTTTGAACAGCCCACAAACTCTGATTCAATAAATTTTCTCTATATAATATGCCATCTCTTTCACATTTAGAATTTTCGTTGGAAATTGGCTTAAAATCCTTCATAGTTAAATATAAAATGTCACCTATCCATTTTAAATTTCTATTTTGAAATTGATGCAGTAAATGTTGTTCATTGGACTCGTTGAATTTAGACATTATATTATTTTTCATAAATGTTTCTATGATTTCTGGTGAATTTTTTTGACTTTCGGCTTGAACTACCAGAAATGAAACGCTTAAAAATCCAAATATATTCAGCACTATAGTTGATCTCAACATTTTCTATCGACATAAATAAAAAAAATAGTGGATATTAATCCATTAAGAGAGTCATTAGTAAATTAAGATATCAAATTTGTGTTTTTACTGTTTCATAAATATCTGAATAATTTAACAGTCGTTATAACCAAATGACAGGAACTCAAGCGTCTAATTCAGCTGATATTGCGTAAAAAAATCATTATTGGTTTTATTTTAAATATTAAATATATTTAAAAATCTAGATTTGAATTTTCACTAAAGATTTATTAACGTTTTGTAATTTTCTGAAACGATTAAAATATTTTACACGAGTGAACGAAAATGTAAGGGCGTATTACGAGTAGTTAGTTCTCAAGTTATAATTTATTCAGTTTAATGAGTTTTTAAAACTTCTCTGATTTTACGTCTTATATTGCTTAGTAGTAACTAATGAGTAGGTATAATGTTGCAATAAATAGAATGTAATCACGACAAACAATTAAAATATAATATACTCTTATATCATTTTTAATATTCCTAAAATTTCTTTTAATAATTTTTTTTCTTTTAAAAAATGTTTTATTCCGTAAATCTGGAAATGGGTTTCTATTGTTGTCATTTTTTGTAACAATTAACCTGTTTCTTTATTTACTGTACACTCTGTATATTTTTGGTATTTATAACTCATTGAAAAATTAAAAAACTTAAATATTTTTGTAATTTTTACTAAACAAATTGGGTTATCTGGACCAGCTACTGAAGATTCCCAAGTGAATGAACATTATCGGTATTACTTGAAATATAATAAATTAGTATAAAAGTTGTATGGTTTTGTTTGTTAATTACAAAATGTATCTATCATAATTGTAATACGATTATTATTGAGGTTGATCGATAAAACTTAACTTTAGTATGCGTCAGTAGGATGTCGATATCGGTTTTTCTCAGTGTGCATGTTGTATGATGTTCACGAACAACAGGTGTATAAATATGCTGTATTGTGATTGTACGTAGTCAATTAAATTAATAGTGATAATATAAATATTAATTTGTTTATGCATATTCTAGGTTTTTAATAAGATAATTATTAACAGTCGGGTAGTCGGACATTTTGTCAAGAGGAAGTAAAAAAAAATTTTTTTTAACCGACAAAAACTTTCAGGGGGTATTAAATACATACTACCCAATGGTTCTGAAACAATATTTATAAATAGACTTTTCACGGCCGCACCTCTCCTCCCGTCAAGATATAAAAATATTAATAACTTTTTATGCAATGACTCAAAAGTTGTTATCAATCAGTTAATTTTTGAATTAGAATTAAATTTTATAAAGAATGTTATCATTTAAAAGAAATAAAGAAATTTGTCTGATCCTCGTGAGTTAATTATGATTTTCGTTTAAACACTGAACTTAAATACAAAACTGATTATCTAACAGTCAAGATTTTATGTAGACAGTTCTTCATTAAATAGTAAAATAATAATATTATTATTAATATATACTTTCAAAAGTTACCCATAAAACCTTTAAAAAAAATTTTTCTTACAATAAACTTAATATTTATAATAGTTTATCAAGATAAATTAATCTTTGTTAAAGGAGAATTCGAATATATGATTCTATTTTTCTTGAATTGAGAACATTTTAAGAAAACGGTGATTTTTTCAAAAATATTTTTTGTGTGTTGTATTAAGAAACGTTAATATACAGGAGTCATGAAAACAATTTTTTTTAATTTTAGCGCGTAACACAAGCTTTAATTTAATATATAATTAATTATTTTTTTATCATAATTATTATAATTTCATTATATAAAATTATTTCAGTGACTAACATTAATGTAATCACACTGTATATATATTTTATATACTTTTTTAATATATTTTAAATATATAACTTATATATATTTATATACTGATATTATTGTAACATAAGCGATAGTAAGTTTACTTATAATTTAAGTTTTAGAACTTAACTACTTACAGTAATATTAATTAATTATTTTAATCCAAAACACTAGTTTACAGAAACATAATTTTTTTGTTCTTCTATTTCTAATTATTTGGCAGTAGGCCAATCGTTGAATCGATTTTGTAAAATTTACTTAACAAACATACTTAAATGGTGTTTTTGGCAATGGATTATCAATTTACGATTTAGTCATCTGAATAACTTCGATTATGCTAATATACATTCAAAAACATTTTATCTAAGCAAATTTCTATTGAAGGTCTTTTACTAAAGTTATGCTAAATTTATCTAGTGTAATATGAAAGTTACTGTTCATAATTTATAGTGGGTTTCTTAATTTATTAATTATCCTTTTAGTAAATTAGTTAATTTAAAATAATACTTTTCAAAAATGATTGTACTACATAGGTTTTAATTTTTACAATAAATGATTTATAAGTTTTGTTTTAAGGCATTACTTCTTTTTAAATTGAGATAGGTTTTAATATAGAGTTAAGAAAAACAATCTAATATTTAATATATCTTTGATTCCAAATAAATAAATATTAAAATTAATTCTAAAAAAATTTTTAACATAGATATTTAAATATGCACTGAAATAAAAGGATCAAGAATAGAATTTTTTTGTAAATTGATTCTAAGAAAAAAATTATTTAGTTGAACAGTAACCAAAAAAATTTTCTAAACAATTATTTATAAGTAGCAAATACATTTAATAATTAACACAAATGAAAGACGTGTAAATTATCCAAACATTATATTAATCTAAACAATATATTGGCAAAACTATTAGGCAATTACGATAATTTAAAGAGTAATAATGTTTCAAGAATACAAAATTTATCTGGATTATTTCAGGTGGTAGTTTTCTCACCATCGTCTTCCTATTATGGCTTATTTATGTAAAAATAAACATCTGAGAAAGGTGGAGAAGCGTATCAAAAAAACTTTAAAATGTTAGCAATCGATATACGAGCACGCTTTACTATCAACCCTTCTATCCAAACCATTAATCTTTTACAGTTTTTTTAGGTCTTGAGTGTTTTAAAGCGAAAAATATTTCAAAAATATGTTATACCTAAATAATAATATAATACATAAAAGTACAAGAATAATGAACAGTAAATATACAAGATTAAAAAACTTAATTTTGAGACATAAAATTATGTCATTAAACATTACATTATAACGTTTAATGACAATGAAAGGCTTAGTTATAAGTCATTCATTGCTAAGTTAATTTATTTTAATAATGTATTTCGTATACTTTTTTCTATATTTATTATAATTTTTTTTTTTTTTTTTTAATAAATGATATGATAACAAATTGTTATTTAATATGCAATGCAAGAGCTTTTTATATCTAAGAAAATATTTTATCCCTTTACAAAAATTCTAATTTAGTAGTTCTATTCATTAAAAAATTAATGAGATAACTTACTGAATTTTTTTACAATATTAAAATTTAACGACAGGCTATGTAGGTCAAATGTTATAGTTACATTGCAAATATGAAAAGTTTAATGATGTAAGTTTTTTTGTGTATCTTTTTCTAATTTCAACTTTTTACTTACATCAAAATAAAATATTTAAAATAATTTTATTTCTTTGAATTTTGAGCATCAAAAAGTATATTTGATGAATATAAAACCATGAAAACAGATAACTGATATTAATTTTATTGTTTATTTATTTATATGTATAAGAGATATCGTAATTGTAATATCGATAATATATCTTTTTAAAAAATATATATCTTAAATATATAACTATAATAAAAAACGGTAGCACAGTGGGGTGACGGCACAGTATGAACGTTGTAATGGTACAGTTTAGATGAAATGTTGTAAATGTACTATTATTGTATGATTACTCGTATTATTGTATAATATGCGGCAACATCGTGTGGGACTTTTGCATTCGCGTTATGTGGTGGCGGCGCTGGAAAAATGTTGTCATGCCTAACAAAGTGATAAGAAGATAAAATAATTGGTTGGTTATGTTTTAAAAAAGAAATGAAATACGTAATGATATCTATGTATTAAAAAATGAACACTTTTGTTTTTCGTTTTCTCTCTAAATAAAAACTAACAAGTAACAATAAGATTTTTCATGATGAATTAAATGGAAATATCAACAAACTATGTTTGAGAGAACAGCGAATAAATACGCACGAATATCAACTATATTTGAACTCTTACATCAATGAACACTGCATCACCAGTACAACTGAAATTAAGGTTAGAAATATAACTACCACTAATTTTTAATTAATCAATTTTTAATTTGTAAAATAAATTAAATACCATTTCAACGTGGAATATTTGGAACAAGTATAGATGATATCTGACAGTGATTAAAATCGCTATCATAAGTAACACTTCGATGCAAATCTGTAAATAGTGTTTCATTTTCAGAAATAGATGCATAATTACAAAAACAACATCAACTCCTATTTCTTTAATTATATCTTGATAAGTAGTTCTTAGATTTAAATGTATAATTAACGAATAAATATTTATAATTGCAATTAAATATAGTATGAAATTAATATTTTATCAGTTGGTGTTGTAATTTTTACCCAAATTATAAAAAATTAAAAAATGGTAAGATATTTGTTACTTCTGTGATAAAAATATATAAAAATTAAAGGGCGCGATGCAATACTTCATATTTTTTTTTTTTAATTATGAATAAATACATTGACCTACAAAGAACTATCATCGAAATACTTTTTGCACTGTTTTCAAATCATTAAATTTATAATTACTATTTCCATTAAATTTATCAGAAAAGCTCAATATTTTTTTTGCATTTTTATCATAATAGATCACTTCAATAAAAGTCATAGTAATCATTTCTAGTTGAAACCTAGTTAATAATATCTAGTTTAGATTTTATACTGTCAGTTTTAAAGGATGTATGAAGCAGTGTAAAAAATTAACTAGATTTTTTATCTAAATTAATATAATATTATTATTTACCTTAGCTAGACGACTTTATCAATGGTTATCTAAACATTATCTAAAATAAGAATTTTGTATTTAGACTACGAATATCTAAATATTTTATTAATCGAAGAATAATGAAATGTTTAGCAGAACTTAGAATTTAATGACATGTTTCAAAAATTATTATATTATAATTCATTTTTACTAAACACATTATGATAAAACCATAACCTCAGGCGGGTTCTCACGACTGGTGTACTTGTCAAGTATACCAATAATTGTATAATTGCCAAGTCGTCCAATTGTCAACAAGTTGAGCGTTCCCATAATTGGTATACTTGACAAGTATGCCAGTACTTTTAAACATATATGAGTAATAAACAAAGGCTAGTGTAATATTTCTACGACTGGATCAAATCCCAAATAATTGTATTGGGGGTGGAATCGAAAAAATATTGAGTTACATATTAAGTCATGCATCATTTGATATTTTAGTTCTACAGTCTTTGGACATTTTTTAGTGTTGGTTATTTGTTTGTTATCGACCAGTAAAAATTTAATTTAATCCAATAAAAATTTCTATAAAAGATGATTTTTTTTTTAATTAATCCAAAAATAATTAAAAAAGACTTCAGATTAATTTTAAAATTTAATTGAAATTTTTTTAGGAAATAATAATAATGAATATTAAGACTTTCTTAAATGTATTTCGGAAAACTAAGGTTCTTTGTGTTGTAATATGAGTATCGAACTGCATTATCTGTACAGGCATTTGCATATATACTCAGCTAAATGGGATGACGTTAGTGAACATAAGGAAAATGATTTAATCAGGAAATAAAAAAGATGGTAAAACGTTAAATTTAAAAGTTGTAAAAATTTCTTGACAAAATTCTAATAACAGTCATTATTTTTTAACTATTATATTGTAACCTTTGTAATTAATTAAATAATTGAACAAACAATGAAAATAAATAAAATTTAATTTCACTATTGATTGAATTCAGTGTACAAATGTATGTCAATTTGTGAAACATAATTATACTTAATTTTAATATAACTATGATGCAAAAATAAATATAGCATTTGAACAACAGTTTTTAAAAAACTTTCAGATTTGCAGGAAAAACCAAAATAATTGTTTTGGTTTTATTAAAACTTTTTTAAATAACATTTTTTAAGTCTTCGTATAGTTGTCTATTTAAATAATTATAAATTCATAACAGGGAGTTAAACTAAAAAAAAGTTATAGTAGAAAATTTAGCTTTAATTTTTGATAAATAAGTACTACAATCAAGTTAAAGAGTCTAAAAAATAGATTATTCTTATCGCAGTAGTCTCAAATTTCAAACAATTATTTTAAAAGATATTTAAAAAAGTTTTGGAGTTTCAAAAAAAAATTATAAAGGGTGATTAAAATTGTGTAAGACACTCATTTTCTCAGAAAATATTGAGAATTTTAAATTTTATTATAGAGAAAAATATCAAGTTCAAAAAACTCTACAATAATATGTAGTCAAACTATTATTTTTTTCGTCCCTTCAAGGATAAAAACCCTTATTTATAATTTTCTTAAATGGGAACAGTTATTTTTAACTTTATAATATGATAGAAAAAAAAATTACAGACAAATTTAAATTATAATACTATAATTTTTTTTTTCCGATTAACCGTTCGTCCGTTACAGCTTGTTAAAGTTAAGTGATTTTAGGCCAAATTTCTATTGTCATTTTACTGTATTAAATACAGAAGTCATTATTTTTATTTGAAGTTGCATAAACCAAATTTTATTGATAAAGTTATGACAGGTAAATTAGCTATAAAAATTTAATACGCACTAAATGAGTGATAACAATAATAGATTCAAACCGGGTTTTCGGTGTATTATTAATAGCTAAGTCTATGGTTTTGTAAGACTAAAGGATCTAACAAAAAAACAGGTTGCACTGCCACCGATTATGAAACGTAATAAATGACAATATTTTTTCTGGAAGCCAAAATCTTTAAATAATTATAAAACGTAAACGGTTATTCGGATAAAAAATATTACAAAAACAAAATTGTTTGTAATTTTATTTTCTATCACATTATCAAATCAAAAATAGTGGTTCCCATTTAAAAAAATTATAAGTAAACATTTTTATCCTTTAAGGGATAAAAAGAAATTTATTTACTTCATATTATTGTAGAGTTTTATAAACTTAATAATTTTTCTTTTTGCAAAAATTTTTAATAATCAAAAGTTTCTGAGAAAATAAGTGTCTTACCAGATTTCGATCACTCTGTATATTTTAATTTTTTATGAGTTTTCGAATGTGTTACTAATTAATTACTATTTAGTAATTATCTAAAAAAGTATATGTGATGGAACAAATCTGAAACCAGATTTGTTATCAGCAGCAAAATTTCCTATAGGATTCATTTAAATATTGTTTATAAACGCCATTTTTTATTATTCTGTGTTATCAAAGGTACAATATATAATATAATCATTTTTGATAACTATAGACGATTATTTTGATATTATCTAACCTTTTTTTAATAATATAATGAAATCATTTAATATCGTAGAAGTATTTGTAGTATATTGGAAAAAATATTACTAATTATTATTTTGTATATTTAACAGTTTACATTCTACTGATATAAATATTTTAGTATAAATAACATTTGATTATTTTACGAATATATTCTTACTATGCGGTATTAGTTAAATAATAGTGTGGAGTGTACAACAGAAATTTTCTGAAGCGTATAAATGCAAGACCCTTTTGCTATTCGAAGGTGTCTGTAAAAAAACAATAAATTAGGTTAAAAAAGGTAGAAAATCTATATGTATAGAAAGTATACGGTGAAAAATCAATAAGAGCCTTAAGAATGTTTTTGAATGTACAGTATTATTTTTTTCTCCTTCCGCAATTTGTTTGGTGTGAATTTATAACTAACCATTGCAAAGTTTAAAAACATTTAAAGGGTTTCACAACTCACGCTTTAAATTGTCTCTCTTCTCCAGGGAATAAAGTTTTCTCATTTTGTACTAATGTTAATTTTGTCATTCTAGGATATATCTTACGGTATAATGACTAATAAACCACGAAAGAAATTGATATAAATAAATATATAAGGGAAATATATAATATATAGAAACTGCTTATTTTAATCAAAATAACAAGTTAAAATAACAGAGTTTATTAATAGAAAAATACGTTTTATTATGCTGGTTGTTGAAGTATTCTAAGATAGAGTTATACATTTATTGATTTATTATTATGACTCTATTTACTACTGCTAAAAAAAAATATCAAGGTACATAAATCTTTTAAAGTTTTAATTTTTTAGTGTGTGCCTCATTAGTAATCAGTAAATCATTAATTTATATTATAGAATTTCTAATATATTATTATAAAATTTGGTTTAAATTGCATTGTAAAGATTATTTTAGCTAACTAAAAATTAAGTCATGAAACGAATTTCACCTAAATTATTCATGTTTTTTACACTTTATTTTAACAATTCAAAACAAAGTTGTGTACTTTAAAGAACTGAAGGTCGTTTACGCTTATCGCAATGCAAAGAAAATGTATTGTTCAAATTTGAATTGCAAATCCATCAACCACTTACTAAATGATAATTTTGTAACGCCTTTTTAAACTGTGTTGAATTCGAAATTTTGATACGAAACTGTCATATCTCAAAAATATTTTTCTAAAAAAATTCAAATTTAAGTGCTTAACGTTATAATTTAATATAATAATTACGAAATGTAAACTCAGTATTTGACAGATAAGACTTTTATATGAATATAAAACAATATAAACCGTATGTAATACTTCTTGACATTATATAACGTTTGATTTTAACATTGATAGCAGTAAACAGCCTGTACCAAACATTTTTTGAATAATTTTTATTTTTTAATTTTAAAGTGCATACATTACATTAAATTAAATTTTACATAATTTAAAAAAACACAGAATTTTAGGAACAGTATCAAAAGTTAGTATTATAAAGAAAAACTATTAAGAATGTAAATTTTGATATGATGTTTAACTCAATAATAATATACTCACAATAAAATATTGTTAATAACAATTTTGAATGATCCGTCTAGTTTTAAAAAAGTTATTACAATTTAATGTAAAAACTAAAATTATCAGGAATTGAACACGGTTTTGTAAAATACGATAATGGACGTTTAAAACCAATTTTTTGGTTTTTTTAACCGAAATCTTGACCCAAAAGAATTATTAGTATTATGCATTGTTTCAGCAATATGTTTTAACAATTGTAGAAAGTACAATTATAAATTAAGGCTGTACACTTCCGCTGTTGGCGACTAATGACTTGACAATTAAATAAAAATATGAAAATATGCGATAATTTAGTACTTTTTAAACCAATTGGAACTGTTCATTGTGGTCAGTCGACTCCAGTGTAGGCACGTCAAGATTTTTTGTTAAAATGTTAGTCTAAGTAATCGAATGTCGCTATCCGACTATGGATCTTACGTCAAGGGTTAGTTTGATCATTCATGACGCCTTTATCAGCCTTATTTATTCTCCTTACCTGACTCAAATGCTTGTGTCATGTACCTCTTAATCAGTTAGGTCTCTCTCCTGATACGCTTGGTATTTATGCCTTGCACTTTGTCTGCACCTCATTCTTCGAGCATCAATCCATACAAAAGGTATTTGTATGCTGCACCATAACCTTGTCGTTACTCTTTTAAAATTACTATAACAACAGCTCTTCAACATCCTAGCATACTGTGACTACTAACAATACATTAAATCCTATTCTACATTTCTTATTTTTCCTTATGATAGTGTAAACACATTAATTTGAAAATGAGTAATTAAAAATTTAACCAATCATAGCATATTAACAAGTGAGACATTGCTACATTGTCAAAAACTGGGTGTGCTTACTTTAAATATAATATATTTAAAATATAGTTTTACGTGTATTTAATAAATAAATATTTAATTAAAATGGAAAAATAGGTACGTATATGATAAATATGTGTTTTCGTATTTTATCCACATGCATTACTCATTCCACGTATAAAAATATATAGAACTCATAAAAGACTTATTTGAAAAAAATGAATATCAACTCATCAAAATTTATGTAAAAATAAAGCTTTGAAAAAATCCATCTTGAAATGTTAATAAAAACATTTTTATTTTTGTTAATATAGAAAATGCATACCTACTTTTATGTAGATTATAATCAACAATAATTGTTATGTATAATTATATATAAACTGAAAAGTAATCAACTCATTTTTGTTACATGTTAGAACATACTCCCAATATTTAGTTTCATTAATTATTTATAATTTAATAATTGTGAATTTTTGTAAATAAAAATTTAATAAAATACTTGAACTATTTAAAAAAATATTTATGAATTCATATATGTATAGATTAAAAAGTTTTAAAACTTACCTTTTTTTATATTTTACTAATACGCAATTCTAAATACTAGTATTAACTCACCAACGTACATAAGAGTCTAATAATTATTAAAAACAGTGTTTTTATTTTTTTAGGAATTAACAAAATTATTCGTAAACAAGCTCTTGAATATGGATAAGTTTAAAATCATACTATAATATTCATCAGTTTTGTTAACGTAAAAAATGATGCATAATATATATATATCTTCAAGATATTTTTTTAGATTATAAAAAAAAAATAATTTTTCTTCATCTAAGAACGTCATGAAAAAAATTAGCCGTAATTAAATTTTTGTAATAGTTTTAATTTTTTAAATAATTTTTTTCAGTAAAATCATCATACTAATTAAAAAAATTGTATGCATCGTTTAAATGTTTTTGAAATATAAAATACTTTTCTCATACTATTTTAACTCGCTAATTTTTTTAACACTTTCAAGAAGAATGCCGATCGGATATGTTTTTCTGTTTTAGATACTGGAGATATTTTTGCTACAAAGTCATGTTGATAACGAGTGCCGTGCATAACGCATTACAAATTTTTATGTACGTATGGACAAGTGTTCCCTCCAATGTTTTATATTATGACTTCATTGTTTTCGCGTAATTCTAATATTTATTATGTCATAATGGAATTCTCTGACTTGCGAGTTGAATTCTACAGTTTATATCTAACAGTAGGACTCAAAGTATATTTCATAATCCTGATATAACATATAGTAATACACTAGTAAAGATAACCATTCCACTAGACAAAACAATATGTCGACCAAGATATTTTTGACGTATTTAATTATTATTATTGTAATAGTAATTTATAAATTAAAAGTGACTATATCGTAAAATATCGCACTAATAAATTGTATTATCCGCGGAAATTCTCTTCCATAAACCCAATACAGTGGAAACGGTAAAGTACAAAAAATTACAACTATTCTTTTAATTTGTCTTTTTTATTAATCCATTCTTATGCATAGTAATAGACGAAAATTCTACTGAAAGAGACCGCTGGGAACACCACGTCTGAAATGGGAGGAAGTAGTAAGAAATAATGTGAAAGCGTTAAGTGGAGGTTTAGATTGATTTCGGATTATCAGGTATCGAATATAAAAAATTGCAGGCAAGAATGTATGTGGGGATGGTTCTAGTGGCCGAGTTTCTGAAGAAGAAAATTATACAAGTTTTATTGATAATTTTACAACAGTAAAAAATGCCGTGCAAAATAATAATGTCAGAAAAACTATAAAAGTCATATAAATACTTTTTTTTAAATATAAATGTATTCTGCGAATATAAAGATAAATGACAAACAACAATGAACTCAGACCTAACTAAATAGCTAATAGTTTTTATTAAAATTATCATTTAGATGAAATTTTTTATTATTAATTATGCTTTCTTAGACTATTTCTAAAGCATATTTTTTCATTATTTATCACTGATAAAAAAACATAATAAAATTTCATTATTTCAAAAATTCAGAATAGTAATATTGTTGGGTCGAGGCAAAGCGGAACGGCGCAGTGGGCACTCGGTGTTGTGTTGAGTTTCGGTTGTCATCGCCATAAGCGCGACCTGCCCTAACTAGTTTTACTGTTAGGGTAGTGTGGGGGTGGTCGCACATGGTGTTACTTGCGTACTTATGTGCTTCTTGTTAGCGAGTGCGTCGCTGTAGTTGACACTGCTTGTCTTTAATGTCTTCTTAAGCATGACACGGCCGCGGCGTTGTCACACGTTTGACACCCCGCGGTCGTATCAGCTCCTTCACAGCCACCTCTTCACTGTAAACCGGACCGTTACACACACGCGTTATCGTCGTGGTGTTAAGTCCAACAAATGCCTAGCGTCGAATACCCCGCCGCAATAATACGTCGAGTCAGTCATCTTCGTAACACCTATCTCATTGGTTACAGCGTCCGTCAACCCAACCAAATCGCCACCGCAATTTCGGTCATCTTTTTGTCATTCAGTCGACGGGTTCTTAGTAGTATTATTGTTACTATTGGTTGGCATATTATCTTTTGTGTTTCAATTCTTGTTTTTCTCGTTAAACGGCTCGACGCCGCTTGGAAAACCAACCTGTATTACTTATTTGTGTCATCATCTACTTTTCCCGTAGCAAGCATTAAGCGCTCTTATACAACGGGCAGATTTCGTAAGACGAAATCTACATTTTTATGTTTTGCTCAAAACATTTGTCAGAAGCTAATTATAAATATCTTTTGTCGGACATAACCGATGCGCCGGTCATAATACTTAACAATAAATCGTTACAAACGTCGTTTATCACTCGGTCAAATATCGATTGAAGCTATTTCAAGATATTTTTGTACATTGTAAATTATTAGTTATTCTTTGACCATTCATTTATATTAAAGATTAAGTAATCATTTGTTAATTTATTTATTGAGAACATTAGTAAAAAAAAAAGAAAAGATCACATACAGTCCACAAAAACTTGATTTATTTATATTTGATCTATTGCAAAAGAACCAACCAAGACGAAACCTTTATTCGGCTAATTGTCATCTAAATAGTTGCATTATACAAATATAATTGTTTGCTACATAAATTGACAAAAAAAAATTAATGGAATATTTACTCATTACGAATTTTTGCTATTTAAAATGTGTACATTGTTGTCAATTTATGAGATGAAATTCGTAATAAAAAAAAAAAAACTTATTTTTTTGTTGCCAACATTTTTTTTTTCAGAACAAAGTATATAAGCATTAATTTAAGGAATATATAAAAGAAACAGTATTTCCGGAACACTTTCAAAAGTTAAGTTGAAAAAGTTCTACTTTCTACATGCATTTTTTAGATTTGAACCCCTCTAAAATATAGGTAAATGGTCCGATTAAAAAAAAAAAAGTATGTCCAATGAAAGAGGTATATATAAAGTATTTATCATTAAAGATTAGAATTTATTCATGCATTTTTTAAAAATTTATAGCAACTTAATGTTAAAAAATATAAAATATAATATCAAAAATAGTATATTTTTGAATACGGTAGTCATTTTCACCATGGAGACAAGTCTAGAGGTCAATTTTTATTTTTTCAAAATATAGTATATTACATAAGCTTTAATTTAAGGTTTATATA